TGGCTTGAAGGTATGGAGCTCTGATACAGAGCAGGTGATAAGCTGGCTGAGAGCTTGTGGGTCAGGATCCCAGGAAAGGCCAGGAGGGATGACGATATGGTTAGAACATGCTACCAGGCCACCACACTCATTTATAAAAAGCACCACAAGGTCAACCTGAGGATCTACAGGCTGGTCAGCCTCACTTCCATTCCTGAGAGAGTCATGGAGCTGGTCCTCTTAGGACTTATTTCTGGGCTTGTGAAAGAAAAAATTGTTTGCAACAGTAAAGCATATATTTAACTAAGCCAACTACATTTAACCAACTCAACTGCCTTCTACAACAATGCAATAACTAGATTTAAGGATAAGGGAAAAGTAGTATTTTCATGTCTTGTCTTTAACAAGCTTTTGACACTATCTCCCACAATATTTCTGTATCCAAATTAGAACATTATGGCTTGAACAGGTGAACTAGATGGACTGTTGGATGGATAAGGAATTGGCTGGAGAATTGTAAGTCAATGGCTCAATGTCCAAGTGGAAACCAGTAATGAGTGGTTTCCCTTAAGGGTCCACACTGGAACCAATACTATTTAATATCTTTATCAATGACAGTGGGATTGAGTGCGCCCCTCAGCAAGTTTGCAGATGCCTTGGTGTAATTAGTGGTGCCGCTGATACACTTAAGGGAAAGGATGCCATCCAGAGGGACCTGGACAGGCTTGAAAAGTGAGTCCACATGCACCTTATGAAGTTCAACAAGGCCAAGAATAAGGTTCTGCATCTGTGTCACAGTAATTCCCAATATCAATACAGGGTGGGGAATTAAAAATAGTGGTGGACAGAAAGATATGTGCTGGCAATGTGCACTTGTAGTCCAGAAAGCCAACTGTATCCTGGGCTGCATCAAAAGAAGTGTAGCCAGCAGGGCCAAGGAAGGTGATTCTCTTCCTTGACTCCAATCTTGTGAGACTCCACCTGGAGTAGTGTTCCCAGCACAAGGAAGACATGGACCTGTTAGAGCAGGTCCAGACGAGAGCCATGATGATGATCAGAGGGCTGGAACACCTCTCCTATGAAGGAAGGCTGAGAGTTGGGGTTGTTCAGCCTGGAGAAAAGGAGGATTCAGGAAGACTTTATTGTGGCCTTTCAATACATAAAGGGGGCTTATTAGAAAGACAGAGGAAGACTTTTTACCAAGGCCTTTAGTGACAGGACAAGGGGCAATAGTTTTAAGCTGAAAGAGGGCAGATTTAGGTTGGATATAAGGAAGATGTTTTTTTACAGTGAAGGTGCTGAGATGCTGGAACAGTTTCCCCAGAGACTGGCAGTGTTAAAGGTTAGGTTGGACAGGGCTTCAAACAACCTGGTCTAGTGAAAGATGACCCTGCTCCAATTGGAGCAAGTTCAGTGGAGGGCTACCAAGATGGTCAGTGCACATGTACTGTGAGGAGAAGCTGAAGGCACTGTGCTTGTTTAAGCCTGGAGTAGAGTAGGTTTTGGGAACAGCAGTCTTCCTGTACCTACAAGAGAAGATGGAGACATGTTCTTTATAGGAGTGCCTGGTGGGAGATACAAGAGATAATCAGCATAAGTTGAAACAAGAAGAAAGATGAAAGGGGAGTTTCTGATCTGTAGTTATCCTTGTTAAACCTTCATGATTCTTTACACATACCAGTTTCAAAAACAACTGACATGGCTTTCAGCTTTCATTAATAATCAGCATGCAGAAGTCATGAAACAGGCTCCATAGCCTGATGTTTTGAAAACATTAATACATGCTATTCTTTTCTCTTTTATTCTTTTTGAGCTTCAGTGTACATACGACCTCAGTTTTCAAGTTTTCTTCCCGGTCACAAGCAACCTAAAAACATACTATTATTTTTTAGAAACACAGAGGTTCATATTCTCTTAGAATAATGGTGAAGCAGAAGACAAGACATAAAAAAGAACCCTAAAAGTGCAAAAAATATCAAAAGTTCAAGGAAAAAAGCCCACTGCTAACAGCAGAAGCTTTGTTCCAATGGACATCACAAAGTCAACCACCATCAGGAGAGGATCAGTTTGACAGTTTTCCACCAACTCCAGGACACAGCTATCTTGGAGAATATTTGTCTGGTGTATTGAGTTTCTGCTGGAGAACTGAGACTAGCAAATGCAAACTTCCATCCATCTGGAACTGCTGAAGGATGAACGGTCTTTCTTGTGCTGGTGGAAAACCTCCAAGAGAAAAGACAGCAGCTCCTTTAATGTTGAATTCTACTGCTTCTCCTTCATTGTTGTTTGGTCCACAAACCAATTACTTGCTTATGATTTAAGATCTGAAGCCAAGGAAAAAGAAAGTACACAGGTAAATTATTATGTCTTCTCTTCTAGAAACAGAACTAGTTATATAAGAACATTGAAGGCTTTAAATACTAATAAAATGTGAAGATGAATTAAGACACTGTCACATGATCCAAAACAATTCAATTACAGCAGCTATGCAACCCATGGTATCTGATAGCCACTAGCCATTTTACCTAGATTATCTGTTTATAGTTAGACATGCTCCTCTGCAACTGAAGCAGGTTAAAAACATTTATCACTTACTGCCAGCCACCTGCTAAGCAGTTGGTCACCTGTGAGGCTGTTTTGACTCCATGACTTTGGATCATGTAACGAGGCACTTAAGACACCACTTTTATGCAAAGGTTCAGGTCTATAATCTTAGTGCCAGCTGTGCACCACACATGCATGTGATGCTGCTGCTACTTCTTCCACACAGTAATGTCAGGTGCTTTCGGAATTTTCTACTTTCAGGATTGCAAATACAACTCTTAATGGACAAGCACAGAAACATAAGGCAAAGGGGAGTTACAGTGGAGGAAGTCAGAATCCAGCAAGTTCAAGACTACATGCCCAACCTAACTCACTACATGCAACATGCATCAACTTCCAACCAGACTTATTTTCAATACAGCATACACAAGGCCCACTTACATAGTTTCATCCATCTTGGTGCACATAGCAACAGTATAAGCGAAACCAACTGGATGTGCGAAGGCACTGTGTCAATTCAGTCTTTGCTCCTATTTTCATAGCACTACCCCTCCCTTCCACTAGTCTCTAGCTCAGCATCACTCCAACCTAGGACAAGATGCCAGGACATGGTCCAGAAGAGCAGGATATGGTGACACATGGCATGCATCTCTGTAGACAATGACAAAAAGAAAGATGTCCCCAGTCTGGTTCTCACAAGATTCCTGGATAAGCCTGTATCCTTAAAATCCAAGCAGGTTTACTGCTTTACCTACTGCTGACTTATGCCAGCTCGATGACAAGACTAAAGGACATGATTGAGAAGTCTGCCAGGGAAGAGTGGGGGGATTATTTTCCTGTGTCTGCAGTGAGAGGGCCTGAATATGAAATTGTCCTCTCATTTTATAGCTGTGGTGATAAGCATCAGGTTTCACACTCCCTATTTCGCACATTCTGTTCCCACACAGTTCGCAAACAGCACCAAAGCAAGCATAGCTACATCTGATGCCTTGATACAACATAACGTGACTATTTCAGATGCTAAACCTTTAATCATGACATAGGAGTACAGTTCAGCCAGTAAGTTGCCCTCGCAAAGCAGCGCGTCACACAGACCATGTGTAATACACTGACTTACTTAATTTGGTCTTCAGTATTATTTCTTGGCAACTAACAGGATCTGACTCAGTTATTACAACATACCACAGCTTCCTCTCCAGCTACACAGCCCTGTTTCAAGTCTGTTTCCTTGTTTCATGACCATTTCACTGGCAGTTCCTTCTGACAGAAGTCAGGTTTCTTATACTCAGCCCTAACACCCTCCTACCCATCCACTCATCCATGTTTTCTTACTGTGCCAGTGCTCTGTAACCCTGACAGTAAAAAAACTTTTCCTCATGTTCAGATTGAACCTCCTATGCTCCAGCTTGCACCCATTGCCCCTTGTCCTGTCATTGGTTATCACTGAGAAGAGCCTGGCTTCTTCCTTCTGGCCCTCGCCCTTTACAAATTTATAAACATTAATGAGGTCACCCCTCAGTCTCCTCTTCTCCAAGCTGAAGAGACCCAGCAGCAGACCTCCCTCAGCAGCTCCTCATAAGGGAGATGCTCCACTCCCTCAATCATCTTTGTGGCTCTGCACTGGACTCTTTCAAGCAATTCCCTGTCCTTCTTGAACTGAGGGGCCCAGAACTGGACACAATATTCCAAATGTGGTCTCACCAGGGCAGTGTAGAGGGGGAGGAGAACCTCTCTTGACCTACTAATCACACCTCTTCTGATACACCGCAGGATGCCATTGGCCTTCTTGGCTTCAAGGGCACAGTGCTGGCTCATGGTCATCCTGCTGTCCACCAACACCCCAGGTCCTTTTCTGCCTGGCAGCTTTCCAGCCACTCATCCCCAAGCCTGTAGCGCTGCATGGGGTTATTGCGACTGAAGTGCAGGACCCAGTACTTGGCCTTGTTGAAGCTCATACAATTGGCCTCAGCCCATTGATTCAGCCTATCCAGGTCCCTCTGCAGAGCCTTCCTACCCTCGGGCACATCAACACTCCCTCCCAACTTACTGTCATCTGCAAACTTGCTGAGGGAGCACTCAATCCCCTCATCAAGATAATTGATAAAGATGTTAAACAGGACTGGCCCCAAAACTGAGCCCTGGGGAACACCGCTTGTGACTGGTCGCCAACTGGATTTAGCTCCACTCACCACAACTCTGTGCTCAGCCATTCAGCCAGTTTTTCACTCAGCAAAGCCTATGCCCATCCAGCTTCTCCAGAAGGATGCTGTGGGAGACAGTGTCAAAGGCCTTACTAAAGTTCAGGTAGACAACGTCCACAGCCTTCCCTTCATCCACCAAGCAGGTCATCTCGTCATAAAAGTAGTGAGGGTCTTACACAGCCTGGCCCAGCACTGCCACTCCCAGCAATCACTGTCACTGTCACTCTGTGACACTCTGCAGTCTCCTGAGACAGGGGGAGATTCACCCTCACATACCTTCTTCAGTGCAGCTGGGAGAGTTGGTCGAGTGCTCCTTGTTTCCGCATTCTGCATCCTGGGTCACTTCTGCAACACAGGCAATACTCGGACAATCCTTGAGCTCACAACACTCCCCTTCCCCAGCCCAGATGGATCAGGAGCAATCTGACTGAGAGCTGGGACATTTGTTCAGCATCACTAATAGCCTTGAGCAACAGCCCCCACCTCCATGGGGCCATCATACACCACCTCCCCTCTCTCCTCCATACCTGACTCCACACTGTCCTCATGCTTCCCTCCAGACCCCACAGAGGCCAAGCACAGAAGGCACTCAGCATTCATGGTGCCACCCATAACTTCACATCAAGAAGAGTTAGGCAAAAGACACAACAAACAAAGACTACTCCATACCACAGGCACTTACCTCCCTCATTTACGTCACAGTCATCTGCATGCTTGCCCAGGAAGCCGCTGTTCTCCTTAACAGTGCCTAAAGAGAGATCAGAAGACAACTACAGTCCCCTGCCTCGCTCAGCTTCAAGGTACTGGCCATTGCAAAAGAGCTACAACCCAACATGTTTCCACCAGCTAACACCGGAAAGCTTACATCTTTACCCCACAGCAGCTCCCCACCACAGAACACTTACTCACCTCCCTCAGTTACGCCATGGTCAGATGCACAGCTGGACATCAGAGTGCTGTTCTGTTTGGTAGAGAGCTCTGAAAAGAGATCACAGGACAGCTACATCCCACCACTTACCTTCACAGTGGCACTGCTCATTACTCAGAGATTAGTCACCAGCTACAGTTGATAAGAATTGTAGCATCATTCAGCTTTGCTCAGGGGGCGAATCAAGGAGGTTGCTAACCCAAACGCCTCCTCAATGAAAGGTCAACATCCTTTTTTCAGACAAGTTGCTCAGAAATCTCCCCAGTCAGCCCTTAGAAACCTCCAAGGGCAGAGCCTCCATGATGACTCCATGCAGCCTGTCCTAGTCATGCCTGGAAGGCAGAAATCTTTTTCTTATATCCACACAGAATCTCCCCCGATTCAATTTAGGACCATTACCTTGATATCCCACTATACACCTCAGTAAACAGCGTGGCTTAGTCTTCTTACCAATATCCTCACAGGTATTGGCAGCTGCTCTTACATACTGCAAAAGCCTGCTATTCTCTGGAGGCCCCCTTGCAGAGATCTCCCAACAGGGACTGCCACTTGACCAGTATTCTCATCTCAGTCTGACCGAGATGTCAGATCTATTTACCACCAATACAAAACATGCTTTCAATATCTTTGGTCCTGCTTGAAGGTTTCTTTCCAGCAGCAAGCAAAGAGCACTTGCCCATGGTGACATACTACAAAAATATCCTTGCACTCTTTTGCATGCAAATAAAAGGTAACACCAGACAAAAGGGCAGTTTGCTTAAATACTCTCAGAAGGAGTTCCCTCATAC